ACGCCGGGGGTGGGGGGCGGGGCCTCATAAAAACCGGGGGAATAAAGACCGGCGACCGTCATAACTCCCCCCCTCCTGGAGTCACCCCCTCCCCGTCGGTCGTCATTTCGGCCTCGTATCACCGGGCTCCATTTGGACTACATTTTGCAATTCGGAACCATGACTTCTAGCTCATCTGTGAAAACACTTATGCCCATAGGAAAACTAATGGCTCATACGTTGTTTTTAAAGTGAGTCAGAAATTATAGTTCCTAATTGCAGAATGTGGTATATTTAGTGCTATTTGTGTACAGTGGCGCGTGACGCGGAAATCGCGCATCTCTATTGTGCCGTGCTAAGTAAATACGCCGTATGTGCCATCAGGCGTTGCCAAATTTCCTTAAATAAATCACGAATTTATTTTTATAATATGTGGTTTGGTTCCTTTCTGGTTAACGCGGTCTATGTCTATTGTATGTTTTTAAAAGGAGATTGAACTCAGTAAATGACCGAACGTTTTCACAGAATTGACGTTGACTGATGAAAAAATGGGAAAAATTTAAAATCATAACTTTGATTGGTCCCCCCCCCTCTCAAAGATGAAGTATGCGCCATGGTGTTAAAACATACTAAAATTTGAATTAAATACTTGTATTTTTCTCAGTTCTCCACTCGTTTAGGATTGTTACTCCCCCCGGGGCTTGAAAATAGGGGTTAATGTCACAAAGTTTCCCCAATAAAAAATGATGGCTTTTTCATTTGTTTTTTCTTTCTTCCTTTGTGTGCGTGTGAAAATGACTCAACCAGCTCCTTTCTTGGCAGTTGGTGGTATTATCAATTTGACCGGGTCAAGAATAAAAAAAGAACGAGCTGTGTCGCCTAATTGCAGAAACAAGTGCCAGTCATTGATTGCTCTATAATTTATGTTCTACGTCCAAGGTCTTAGTTCCCTGATAATCGAGAAGAAAATCATCCCTGCTAGTTTTGTACATCGAGCCTCTCTTCGATTTAAGCGTCTCAGTTTCCGATTGTTTACATGAATGTCACTCGTGTTTTATCGAAGACTTTTCCCTCATACTAACCGCCTTTTTTCTGTGCACGTGGCAACTTTTAAATGCAATACAGCAACTTACTCCGACTCCTCGTCGCGACAAAGCCACCCGGATAAACGCTCAAACATCGTTGCCAGACAGTGCTGAAAAAGCACTTCCCCCAATTTAAACACATGTGAAATATCTACATCTAATTGCACAATCTGGCAACGTCGCGCTCAAATCACTCTTTTTGTATCTTTCGTGTTCCCAGAGATTTTGACGGAGCTCCCCGTTTTCCCCGCCCGCCCCCCTTCTTTTTTCTATTTTTTTCCGAACCGAGTCTGCACTGTGTTTTTTTCTCCTTTTTTTTCTCTTTTCGTTTTTTTTTACGCCCAGCGTCTCGCTCGGGCGCGCAAAACAATCGCGATGCACCAGTGTTGCGGTGGATTATTTGAAATTGTTTCCCGTTCGCTCCTAGTTTTTTCCCCGTCTTTTGTAGGGGACCAGGGAAAAGTGCAGTTAAAATATAGGTCACTGCTGTGCACATTAAAATGCTGGTACCATATTCTCTCTTCTATTCTCCGTTTTTTGGAAACTACCCTTTGGTCCGTATTTATCTATTTATCGACCGGAACTATACCCAAAATGAGCGCTAAAATGAATGGACTAACTATACGGTCTCATCCCTCGGTTGCCGTTTGTTACTCTATTACCTACCTACTTTGTTCCTTGCAACCACTCGCTCCCACCAATAGGATCCCAACTCCATACCCCTTTTGTCTTCTTTGTCTATAGCTGTGCTTATCAATCTCAATAATCGGCCCGCTGTTCCATTACTCAGTTTTTGTCGGGTCGATTCATTGGCGGACCCAGCAAATTGGCAACATTGTCTTTTCTCCATTTAAATCCATAGAAACATATCGATTTTAGGAGGGGCCAGGTGCTCCGACAAGAATCGATTATTTAGCATAGGTTAAAATGGAGGGAATCCAGTGTTGCCAAATTGCTGGATCCGTCCCTGGGTCGATTCATCCGTGGATTCCATTTTTTCCGAGGCTTTCCGTAAAGATTCGTAGCGAGGGATTTTTTACGTGGTAGGGTTGCTAGTTCTACACCCAACCCTTCTCCCTTACCTGGCCTTGGGATCAGCTGGAAGCAGTGCTGCCATTTCCCGGAATTAATTCCACATTCCAGAATTTTTCAAATAATCGGACATTTTTCTGAATCTTCGAAATTCCCGAAATTTTCAGTTTTTTGGGGGGTTTTGTCGGAATTTTGGGTTTTTTGTCAGTTTGACCGGTCATTTGATCAAATTTGCTGATTTTCTTATCAGATTTGATGATCTCCGGAACTAGATCCGGGCATATTCCTGAATTTTCACCGGAATTTTTCTCGGAGCTTTGGGAAATTGGAATTAATTCTGGGGGCCTCGGAATCTTTGGTAAAATAAAATGGCAGTACTAAGTAGAAGTAAACATTTCACCCCGAAGTGGAGTCAGTTTGACCGGTCATTTGATCAAATTTGCTGATTTTCTTATCAGATTTGATGATCTCCGGAACTAGATCCGGGCATATTTCGGAATTTTTCCCGGAAATTTTGAAAAAATCGGAACTTTTCTCGGAACTTTGAAAAATCGGAATAAATTCTTTGGACCTCGGAATCTTTGGTAAAATAAAATGGTAATACTATCTAGAAGTAAACATTTCACCCCTAAGTGGAGTCAGTTTGACCGGTCATTTGATCAAATTTGCTGATTTTCACATTTGATGATCTCCGGAACTAGATCCGGGCATATTCCGGAAATTTTGAAAAAATCGGAATTTTTCTCGGAACTTCGGGAAATCGGAATAAATTTTAGGGACTCCGAAATCTTTGGTAAAATAAAATGGCAGTACTATCTAGAAGTAAACACTTCACCCCTAAGTGGAGTTAGCAGTATCCTTGATGTTAATTTTTCAATTATTTGAACGGGGTGTTATGGTGTGTTGCAGGTTCCTGAGCGTGAAGAAATGGCTGCTGCGGAAGAAGCACCAGATCGAGCTGGCCCGGAAGCGGGGCTGGAAGGGCTACTGGGTCTGCCTCAAGGGGACGACGCTGCTCTTCTACCCCTGCGACACGCGGGAGGGGCGCTCCGTGGACTCGGCCCCCAAGCACCTCATCATCGTCGACGGCGCCATCATGCAGCCCATCCCCGAGCACCCCAAGCGGGACTACATCTTCTGCCTCAGCACCGCCTTCGGCGACGCCTATCTCTTCCAGGTACCTCTCACCTTCCACACCATTTTAAACGTCCTAATCTCACACTGGAAAAAAAAACACACTGGAAAAAAAACACACACTGGAAAAAAAACACACACTGGAAAAAAATTCCCGGCGGTTTTACCAAGGTCCGTTGGTACCTTTACCATCTCACTTTTTTTACCAATTATTGGTAATTTTACTAAAACGGACCGGTAACCTTACCTAAAAACCGGTATTTTAACTGTTTTTTTTTTCAGGTAAGAATACCACTTTTATTGGTAATCAATTCCCGGTGACTTTGCCATTTTATCTCGGTAATTCTACCACAGTTGATAAAAATATTGGCGTTTTTACCAAGGTCCAGTAAAATTATCGAGAAAGTTCAATAATTTTACCGAGATTTCTCGGTAAAATTACCAATTCCATAAATGTTCATTTTACCAAGAAAAAACTGGGATCAAATAGAACCCTGAATTCTTGGTAATTTTACCATTTTCTTAGTAAATACATGCACCGAGATTTTTTTTTCAGTGCATTGGATCTTGAGTCCAGACTCTTAAAAACATCGACAAGAAAAAATACTCTTGATTTAATGAGATTTAAGCTCAAATCAAGAACCAAGCCTCTTAATTTGAGCGGATTTCCTTTTGATTTAAGCTTAAATCTGATTGAATCAAGAGTCCTTTTTCTTGTCGATGTTTTTAAGAGTCAGGATTCTTGATCCAATGTGTTTTTTTCCCGTGCATATCCTGAGGCATGAGGGAGCCTTCATAAACAGATCGCGGTAAGCAGAAAGGGATCGCACATCTGCTATTGCCAAATTTGATTTCGTAATTTAATTTTTTACTCGAAAACGACTGTGCGCATTTGTGGGCTTTCAGTGAATTTTCTGCATAGTATGAAGCATATTCCTTAAATTTATTAAAGGACTCAGCTTATACGTTGTCTTGTAAAAAATTTAATCGTCCAATTAAATTTGGCAGTCTTAGCTGATGTCGTTTGGCTCCTTTCTGTTAACACGGTCCAAAAAGACATCATTTTACTAGTAGGAGCTACATTATCTGGCAGAAACATCATGTGTGCCATTAGTTTCTTTATGCAGATAGCTGCTTCTATGGCGCTAGAAATTGTAGTTCCTAATTATACAATGCTGCCGACATTACGTGACGCTCATGGTGAAGGGAGGAGGCATGAGTCCGTGTTACGCTGCGTTACGAGGGGAGGGGGTCAGTGCAACCCTCTCTTTTGGTAAAAAATAAAAACAGGAAAATTGCCTTTTCAACGAAACTTCTCAATTTTTATCACTCCACCCGATTCTTTTTCTGTAAGTACTGGAGATACATCCTAGATAGTTTGCCTAATTTCTGAATTTCTCATCCATTTTTTAATCCTATGTTTTACCTTTTAATAGTATTTCCTGCTTCTCTATACATTCTGAATCACACTTATTAGTTCTTAATTTAGCATAAATCAATGTAGCTTACCCCACGATGGAGGTACGTAAAGTTGGCGCTGACCCCCTTTCCCATTTATAACGCAGCGTAACGAAGGAATTTAATACCCACTATGTTCCCGCAGAGTGTTACGTAGTTTATGAACGCTCCCTAAGTCTACTTCAAAATTTTATTTCAACGGCTTGTCCTGTAATAATAAAGAAGAACGCCGGATTCATCAACGTCACTGATCCTTTCTAGAGTACCTTTATAGACAGAGTATGGCCATTTCTGTTCCGCTTTTTCATTGGTCGCGTGAAAATAGGCTGACACGATGTTCTTACGGCCGTAAATAAACAAACAAGATGGCTGTTCTCAGCAAGCAAGATTGAGGGTATGCACATCTTACATCCTCCTGTGATAAAGGTGAAAGGCGATTTAACAATGTTTCTATGTTTTTTTCGTGTGTTATTTGTAGACATGCTAGTTTAAATTGTTACTGCCACATAATTGAAATTTTTGTCAAATTTAGCTTCTTATCGATGTTACTTTGAGCCGCCATTTTGTTTGTTTATTTACGGCCGTAAGAGCATAATGAAGCCTAAAAACCCGTTGACCAATCAAAAAGCGGAACAGTTTTCCTGTAGTAAAAAGATACGAATGGCCATACTCTGTCTATAAAGGTACTCTAATCCTTTCCACAGGAAGCAACTAGCAGAAATCCCGATTTAAAAATTGGCGGGCTCGTCCGGGATTTGAACCCGGGACCTCCTGCACCCGAAGCAGGAATCATACCCCTAGACCAACGAGCCGTGATAACGTGGCTCATTCAATAGCGAACATAGCCACTCTCGGTGCACTCGAATGGAAACCAAAGAATGTTGATGGATGTGTGTTCGTTTTGTTTTGATGCGTCCGTAATTACTCCTCGAGCGCGTAGAGAGAAAGTGAAAACAATAAACATCGCCCGCGCTCAATCTGCTAATTAGCAGGTTTCTACTGTAATACTAATGCAGTTCCCTTGTGGAATACGGAGGCCCGTTGGTCTAGGGGTATGATTCCTGCTTTGGGTGCAGGAGGTCCCGGGTTTAAATCCCGGACGGGCCCCTTAATTTTATGGACCCTCTAATCCCGCTTAGATACATACTGCGGCGTTGCCACTTTGGCTTGCAGGTACCTTAATTTTGTTTGTACCTTGAAAAACTACACATGAGTTCATCATCACTGTCGTGAAATACGGCTGCCACAGTCAGGGAATACCGCGAAATATCAGGGAATTTTAAAAATTCAGGGGAAACCTCGAAATGTCAGGGAATATGATGAAAATATCACCAGAAAATTGTCAAATCACCTTCATTTCCGTTCTTGAGTGCGTTTGACGTTTCGAACAACTAATTTTCCTTGAAAACTATTTCTAACTATGTCTTTTTAACAATCTGGCATCTGTTGATTGTCAGGAATTTTTACTAAAATGGTTCAGGGGAATGTCAGGGAATTTAATTTTCCAACTTCTGTGGCAACCCTGTAAAACAGTTTTTTTTGTAAAATACTAATCGGATGCTCTTACCCATCCGCAAGAATAGGAACATTTTCTATCTCTTTTTTTTAGCTGAAAGAAAACTTTCTTTGGCCATAAAACAGAAAATATCAAAACTCTCTCTCCGGTCGTCCTTTCGTTGTTAATATTCAGCCCCCATCCATCTGCAGTTCTCAGCCCCAGCAGATTCCCGCGGTTTTTATCCTGAGAGGGAGCTTGTTTCCATTTGAATCGCGTTAAGTTTCAGAACGACCCAACTCTGAAACACTAAATTTGACAAGAGACAATAAAAACTGCGTAACTGCCGTAAAAATCGGGACAGGAAAAGCCGCTGTAGGTTAAGGAGTGCGTAGGAAAGAGGATCTTATAATTGGGCACTGCTAGGAAGGAGGAAGTCATCGCGACGGGAAAAGTCAGAGTCAGCCTTTCATGAAATATAGTGTTAAAACTCGTTGATTTTAAAGGGTAGAGAAAAATGACTAATATAATCCACTGTTTGTTATAATGGTGTCTATTTCGATTAAATGAAAGTCAGTTTTTACAACTTTTACAAAAGCAGGCACTCATCCAAAACTTGAATTTGATTTCCTAGAAAATGGTAAAAATTTGAAAAAATCTAACCGCCATTCACATATCACATAATATGGCTGGAAAAAAATAGACTCGATGTAAGCGAAACATCGAATGTGCCCTTTAAAAGATTCCCTCTTAAATCAAGAATCAAATCGCCTGAATCCAGCAGGTTTCTGCCTTAAACTCGTATAAGTAACCTTTTTCTCAATACATGCATCTTTTCTTCCGAATATTAGCACTTTTGATGCAAGAGAAAATCTCATTTGCAGTAAATTTTAGGAATTTCTGCTGCAATCAAGCTACTGTCTTCCAAATTCCAATCATGACAAAGCGCTGGTGAGATTTTCAAGAGAGATACTAATGAATTTCAGAACCTCATTTTAGGAGATATTTTAAGAGCTACGTCCCACGCCTTGAAATGTTGAACATTTTCCAGCTTTTCCTGCTCCGACAGACATAAAATACTTCTTGCAATAAATGCGCCGATCTCTCGAAGATTTTTTTCCTGTAAAAAAGTTAAAAACGAGAAAACAAACCAATAGAGAGTTTTCAGGTGTCTGAAATTAGGCAAATCTCATGTTTAAGAAGAAACTCTACTGAACAAATCAAGCATGAGAGTATCCTTTCTTTTTAAAATGAACAATTTTTAGAGGAGATATGACCCAATTCCCCAATCTGTTAAAGTACTTTTATTTGTATTGGAATTGCCGTCCGATGACATCACAAGACGGTAGATTTTCAGACTTTTAAATCTATTTTTCTAAACTTTTCCATTTCAGAAAAATTTTATGAGAACTACGCACTCAGCTCGTTAAGCACTCTCAAATCAGTGCTCCCATTCCATGCCCGTCAAAAGTTCCGGGATTCGTTTTAGATTTTTTCAAAAGTTCCGAGAAAGTTCCGGAAAATGCGAAAGCGCCGAGAAAATTCCGGAGAATGTCATAGATCCAGAAAATGTCGGGAATTGCAAAAGTTCCGGAGAGTGATAAAGATCAGGAACAGTCCGGGAATTTCAAAAGTTCCGGAGAGTGCAAAAGATCCCGAACTAGAGTCCCTTAATACTGAGAGTCCAGACACTTTGAATCCATTTCTGATTGGTTCCCGTATTTTAGGCCTTTACAGTGTCACAAACGAGAATAAAGATTACATTTTCATCGATTGCAAAGATTATAATCTGGAATGGACCAGGGAATTACGGGTTTGGCAAGGGACAAACGGAATGAGAGAAGGAACGGAGAAAGGAATTTGAGAATGGGCCGATCAAAGATTACGAAAAACGTTCAATTTCTGTAATCTTTATTCCCGCTTGTGACTCCATGAGGGGGTGTTGCCTTGACTCTCAGTATAAGGGGACTCTATCCCGAGCATTTCGGGAATTTCAAAAATTCCGGAGAAAACGTATGATCCGGAAAATTCCCGGAATTTCAAAAGTTCCGGGAAAAATTCAAGAAAATCTCAAAAGTCCCGGAATTCAGTACCAGTTCCGGGTAACGGAAGCACAGTCTCAGGCAAAGCAGTACAATGTCTCCGTGCAAATGTTCCATTTGAGTCGTTTTTGATCTCAACGATTCATTTCTAATCGGAGGAAAAGAGGAGAGGAGAGACTCAGGAGCAGGAGATAAACGAGGTTTTTTTGTCGCGGATCGAAAGTCTATTACCTGAAGCTGAGTGGAGACGCTGGTGTGGAGTGTCGAGTTCCTTTCTGTATCACGCTCCTCGCGGTTCCGAGAGTAAGTGCAACTCCACGCCGCGCCATAAAGCGAACCACTTACAAGTTCGACTTTCCACACTTGCCACTTCCGTACGCTCCGAGAGCCCCGTCCGAATCCGGTGCTTTTCTCACGTCCTTGTTCCCAATCCTCTTAATTTTAACCGTCTTTTAATTTTCTCTTTCCGCACCGAGAAAAAGTTGGGTCGTTCGGAACGAACGTTCGGCGTTCATTCAGGGCTCCCGATTCGATTACCCATCAGTGGCTTGGCGTGAATTGCGATAAATTGATTGTTATGCCATTTAAAACTATGGTAAAGAATCGATTATTAAGGTGCTCGCTGCAAACACCCTATTTATCGATCCTTTTCCATAGGTTTAAATGACATAACAATCGATATATCGTAATTCACGCCACGCCACTGTTACCCATTCTGCTATCCACGACTAACCACCGGATTATTATTTACTCACAGATTACCCACCGGTTCTAATTTTACCTGCACTTTACTCACCGGCTCCAGCTTTACCTACGTCTACCCACCAGCGGGCTGATTGTTGAAAGTGACAGACGAAACGATAGACGAAGAAGATGTAAGGAGTATGGAGCGATCCTGCACTGGAAAAAAAACACATTGGATCTAGAGTCCAGACTCTTGAAAACATTGACAAGAAAAAGGACTCTTGTTTCAATCAGATTTAAGCTTAAATCAAAAGGAAATCCGCTCAAATTAAGAGGCTTGGTTCTTGATTTAAGCTTAAATCTGATTGAATCAAGAGTATTTTTTCTTGTCGATGTTTTTAAGAGTCTCGACTCTAGATCCAATGTGTTTTTTTCCCAGTGTATTGGTTAATTTAGGTGGCTCCGATAGACTAAGGGAGAAAATGATGGACTAACTAAAGGGCCTCTCATGGGTTGCCGTTAGTTAGTCTATTACCTACCGTCTTTGTCCGTCGCAACTACTCGCTTCCATCAATAGTATCCCTCCATACCCCTTTTGTCTTCTTTGTCTATAGCTTTGTCTATTAACGTCAACAACCAGCCCGCAGCTTCAACTTTACCCACGTTTACCCACCAACAACACCCAACTTTACCCACAGTTACCCACCAGCTTCAACTTTACCCACCGTTTACTGCCAAATTTGAATTTTCTAAAGGTTATTTCTTTGGATTTTAGTGAGGAAGAAAATATCCACAGATCACCCACCTTTGCCTGAATTACCATTGCTCCATACTCCCTATGTATTCTTTTTCTATAGCTTTGTTGCAATTTCATTTATCAGACAATGATTGACTCAGCCAATTACATTGCTCAGATTCATGGTGCGGGATCTCTGAGATATATTGTTTCTCTGCTTTTAAAAGTCAACTGTTTAATGCTCGCTCTTCTCATTATCTTTTTCGTCGCGGGGGGTCCAACAAAATTTTGCGGCGAGAACTTTTCTTTTCAGCGCGGTTCGCCGACAAAGTGCTGAACTAATATCGGGGTTATGACGGGACCAAGATGATACAATACAAAGCTGACCCAGTTTCCCGATATTAAGCACGCTAGCGCACGACTCGGAAAATTAAAAAACTGTCTCCAAGTTTGCTCAAACTTTTAGAACCAAGTTAGAAGCGTGCCTTAATGCAATTCCCGCATGCGTATACACTGTGCGCCCGCGTGAAATTCTGCAAGAAACTAGTGGCATGGCGAGCTTTGCCATGGTAACGTTGCATGGTGTCAACAAACCCAAAATCTGATCATGGATTCAACCATCGTTGACGTCATGCTCAGGCAGTAAAACGCAAAAATGGGCCCTGAGAATGGTGTCAACGATCACGGTGTCAATAAGCTGAAAAATATCTTTCTTAGAAGTAAAATTAAAAAATTAAGCACACAGGAGAGGTTTGGGTCACATATAGTTAGATTAGGTTAGTTTAGGTCAGGAAATGTGCGATTAGATTAGGTAGGGTAAGGTCGGGGAAAATTACGTTCTGTGAAAGTGGGTTAGGTCTTGTAAGGTGAAGTTGGTCA